AGCATGCTTTTGAGATCCAGAATACCGGGAGGAATGGATAGAGAGGTGTGTACCCACACAGCAAATTGGCTTTGGGGTTGAGAAAGAGAACTCTGTTTAGACTTTGTCAATGGGGGAAATTGGTCACAGCTGGATTTCACTGGTCAATTGGTACGTTCAGATCTTGAGCGTGGTCTTCCAGCAATGGCTGGGCCAAGAACTTTTGTCACCCTTTAAACCCTACTGGCAAGTCTTTATCTTGCCAGTAGACATTCAGCGACACCTTTGTTTTGCCCTCTAATACCACTTAATTCGTTTTGTTTATTCACATGGTTCCCCCATCTGTTTTTTGTTTTTTTTCTTCCTTTTTCTCTATGTCCATTAGGTTTTATAGATTTTTTGTGGGAGTTCACAATATCTCTAAAATGGTGGAGATACTGAACTGGTCAGTTGGTGTGTGTGTGTGTGTGTGTGTGTGTGTGTGTGTGTGTGTGTGTGTATATATATATAATATATGTATGGGATTGTGATTTCTGTGGATCAGAAGGCCAGTGATTCTTCCTCAGAATCCATCTCCTTTAGACAGACTGGCAGCTCTTTAGCACCTCAGTCCTCTGTGTGAGTCCCTGAGATGGAGAACATTTCACATGTTTGCAGGCAGATTGCACATTTGAGGCAATAAACTGCCTCGTGGAGGACCAAACTTAACATTGTCTGTTCCGCTCTTCCTTTTCCTTAATTGTAAGTACGATTTGTTGAAGACCTGTCATCTGCAGTTTCTTTTATTTCTTTTCAAGTCCCGCTCATTTTATGGCATCTGGTGTCAGGGCTCCGCCGGATGGTCTATGTCCGGAAGTGAACATGTGGTAATGTTTAGCTTTGTAATGCCCTGGGTTTTATGGACGTCTTGAGGGAGATATCGCATGGAAGGCAACCAGGATAGTGATTCTGGGCCAGCAACAGCCTGGATGTCCAAGTGTTGGAGAACTCTTGTTATCACAGAGATTCCCAAGGGTATACCTCAGTCCAAGACCCACAGAGAAGGATTAACATGGATGCCAAGTCATCTTTAATAAGCCAAATCTCTTTTTACTCAAACATTCATGTATTTTTTCAATGGAACCTCTATCAATTTGGTGACTCGTTTTGGCATGAACAAGCTTTAACTCCCCCTCAGTTAATGGAATGTGTAACAGTTATGCTCACAAGAGACGTTTATTCGTGTGGTTATGTTGGCTCCAGTACATAATTCATGTGTTTTGTTAAAACATGATTTTGAAACATTTCTTCCTTGACTTATCAAAGCTCTTCACCCTTGTAAGTTGATATATTACCAAAAATCAATGTGAAATTCTAACTGTTTATAATTCACCGGTACATTTCTCTTCTCAAACTTGCATGGCTAAATCAAGTAAAAAGCATTTGACCCTATTATTTTCCTTAGAGGACCATCTGGCCCAAGAATAAGCTATCCTGAAGTTGAGCCCTGCATAATGCAGTGGGTGCAAAGCTTAGAAAGCATTGCTCATATTCCAACAGATTTAAACACATTCCTATCCTGGCCCCTCACCTTATTCCACACAACATCAATTAATGTATGATAGTCTTGCTGGTATTAGCTCATAATTAAGATTTTATTATCATTATGTATTGATCTGACAGCCTGGCACAGAAATTATATATCATTATGTGATATTACTTTGTCACCATTGTACACAATATCTTTAAGGAAACCAGCTAGCTGCCAAAAAACCCTGACACATTGTGCCCATAACAAATGGCTCTTTACTGAATGATGGCTTGGGAGATTCCATTAACAAATATAAATGTGTTCAAGAGGGATGGTATTGTTGTCAGAGTATTACATTTTAGCCACTGGGCAACTAGTAAAACACGTTTAAATGTTGGCAAAGACTTTGATCAGCTGTTGGGGATCTGCACTGTTGGACAGGTTAAAACAGTTAGATACATTCCCAAAGTCACATTTTAATAAAAACAAAAACAAAAACTTCTGTCAAAATTTAACTCTGTTTAAGTATGATGCCAATGGGAGGGGGTGATTTTTAACTTTTTTGGCTTGGAGGCATATAAAACTTGTTTTATTGTTGTGGCCAACCATCTGGTTGAAATATGCCACCTATAGTCATCTTCTCCACCCACCTGGGACTCCGACTAGTGTGGCAGCTCGAATGTGTGCAAGCCCTCCAGGGCCCATCAGTCCACATGCAGTGCTCAGAGGAAACATGTGACATGTGGCATAATTGAGTCAGCCAGCAAATACTGTAGCAGAAATCAGCCAACTGATGCCACTACTCAGTGCCCAGCGGGAGAGCTCTGAGCTGTATAGGATGGCATCAGAAAGGAATGTGCATGTTTCAGATTATTAAAGGCACTGTTTTTTTGTTTAATTTGAGATAACATGGGGCCCTGGGGGCAAGGGCGAAGACAGCTGAGGCACTGACGAATGGGCCGAGAGCACCCTGCTGAGAGTGTAAGGTATCTTGGGAAGAGATTCAAGTGGCAGTAGAGAAAGGGGAATGGAGGTTTAAGAGAGCAATTTAGTACCAAAAGCAGCCAAATTTCCCCTCTCAGTTTAATTTGCTCTGTCTGTGGGCCATTCTCTAAGGAAGGTCATTGTTTCCTCATGATTTATTTTGCTGGCTCTCTAGTTTCTTTGTCCAAGGCTCTTGCCACATAAGAAGCATGAATTCTTGGGCCTAGCTGGTCACTGACTGCAAACAGTGTATGTTAGTGTGGCTGTAATGTTGTGGGTGGAGCTAGCTAGCTTAATTAGTAAGGTGCATCGTAATTAATTTGCCTGTATTGTGATTGGCAGGTCGCCGTGGTAGTGACTTGTCAATCATAAGGTAGCCACACCCTAAAGGTTAACATGCATTATTGTCTAGTTTCCTCTTAATGGGACCATAATTTACTAAATTAACATCATGCTGTATTGAAGAAGACTAGAAACTAGCGATTGATTAGATCGGAGTTTGCCACTTAAACAGAACCCACATGCTGGCCCTCATAAACACTACACTCCAATAAAAATCGCATGCATGTCAAAAAGGGCAGTCATGGTTGCTCTGTGGTAAACATAACAATAAACGATCGTAAAGTTCAGTAGTAGCAGTAACTCACTAGCCATTTGTAGGTTTGCAGGTACGATAAGCATTTAAATGATTTTCAATTGTGGAACCTGACTTTTCAGCTCTGATGAGGACCTGTTTTGACGTCAGTTTTTCACTAGTTTCACTCCCTTTTATAACGCAGGGAGTGTTGCTTCTGTCAGCAAAAAGAAAAGTTCAAGTCATTTGCTGATGTGCATCCCTGAGCTCCACTGAGTGTGAAGGTGATACAGCCTGTTGTGTATCGCAGTCCGTTTAGACTTAAAGTTAGAGTGCAGAGTCTTGTCAGCCTCTGAGGAATGTTCTCAGATGTTGACAGAAAATCAAACCTTAATACTGTATGTAGCATTGGTACACCCTTTTTAGCCGTGCTTAATAGAGTAAACAACTGCATCCCTGATGTCATGTGCCGAGTTAGGCAAGTGCCTCCAGCATTGCGTCTTCTGGCTGCTCAGGAGATGTTGTCTCTTTGATTGTTTCTTCAAATATGCAAGCCAGCGCTAGGGGAGAATATTGTTTGTTCTAGATTTCCTGAGAGACTCCCACCTTGGGCTTAAACAGAGCAGTTGTAATGAGTAGGAACAATGTGTCTTGCCTCTTCCATAAGCCATCAGGAGGAGAGGGAAGGGTCTGAATAATCTTCTTTCTCATTTTGTTGCTTCCTTTTTGTAAACTCATCCCTTGTCCGTACTGTAATTGCAGTTTAAAATGTTGACCTTTTGTTCTGTGCACAGACACCTATGTTTTTAGAGCTTGATGTTATTGAAGTGTAAGTGAAGAATAATGCATGCTGACATGTGGTGTTTCCCCAGAGTGTGGACTCAGTAATGTCTCCATTATGAAAAAAAAAAAAAAAAAGGTCTGTTCATTTGTGAACCCATTTGTCTATTGTGTTCGGTCATGTAACAAAGAATTAATGCCATTTTCTGGGATTGTGGGGGTAACACAATTGTCTCCTTGACTCTAGCTAGTTGACAGACAGGGCCTAAGGGAAGGAACTGTGCTTTTCTACCATCTACCCACTGACACAATGACAGAAATGTTGGCACACACATATGAATGAGAGGGAAGTCATCCGCAGGACTATGGTCAGATGCTACAGCTGATGAAATTTCACATTACTTTATTTTATGTACATTACATTATGTAGTTTCAGCGTAGTGTTAAAGGGGGCTGTCATCAATCACATCCGCCTTTCTGCAAACCAATACTATGCCACATGTACAGTGGCCTTACGAATGCAAGCCTGGTCACAAAGCATACGGTGTATTTAAACCAGCTGAGCAGCAATGTTGCCATTTAGCTTATTTTAGCTATGTGATATGTAAGAACAACTGTGGTTTATCTGTTTGATGCAACACCATGTTTAAGGCATGGACTGCCTCGACATTTTTTACTGTGGCACATTATATTCAGTGTGTTATTTCAAATTACTGTATTGGATGTAGGATGCATCCTGAAGTTGCTCACTGAAATGGCCTACCAACTATTTCAGCAGTAGTTCAGAAAGCAGCTCAAAAAGTAGCTGGTTTGTTCTAGCCTTTTAATAAGAGGAGAGTGATTATAAACCGAAATGCTGGTATGGTTTTTAATAGTTTTATGCCATCTGTTGCCATCTTACCCATCTTGGCCTGTCATCTTATGTTTTAATAAACATAAATGTATTCCATGCATTCTTATATATGTAAATGATTTCACCTTGTTGTGGGAAATGTAGAAAATTTCTTTTTGAATATGATTAAGTTCTTTATTTTATGCAGTGCTGAAAGCAGTAAGTGTAATGTTTTGACTAAATAACTGTAATGCTGTCCAGTCTTGTTACATTGAATATCATTTCCAAAATGTCAACATAGTAATTGTAAAAAAAAAAAACTGTTTTCTTTTCTCCTGCAGTGAAAAAAGATGTAACAGATGAGACTGACGACAGAATGACACAATTCAAGAAAAAGGCGAAAGAGCTTCGCATCTTGGATGCCAAAACAGCACAGAATCTGTGTAAGTATATAGGATATTTTACAGCCAATAAACACGTATTTAACTCCATTAGTTCATGAAGGACTGCATTCTTTTTTACCATGACCTTTTATGTCAGAAATGTCTCTGTTATTTTCCATGACACCCCAGGCATTTTCATACCCCCATGAACAACTCAACGTAGCTGTTTGTGGGAAACAAACAGTAGAAAGCCCTCAACAGTGATACTGTTTTACTTTATCCTTTGGGGAAATGTTTTCTTGGCAGTTGTTTAGCGGTGTGTTAAAGCTCCCTAGAACTGAGCACCAAAGGTAGTTGACAAAATCTTAAGTTGATACTGGTGTACGGCTTCACCTCACCCTATGAAATATATATATATACATATACACTCACCTAAAGGATTATTAGGAACACCTGTTCCAATTTCTCATTAATGCAATTATCTAATCAACCAATCACATGGCAGTTGCTTCAATGCATTTAGGGGTGTGGTCCTGGTCAAGACAATCTCCTGAACTCCAAACTGAATGTCAGAATGGGAAAGAAAGGTGATTTAAGCAATTTTGAGCGTGGCATGGTTGTTGGTGCCAGACAGGCCGGTCTGAGTATTTCACAGTCTGCTCAGTTACTGGGATTTTCACGCACAACCATTTCTAGGGTTTACAAAGAATGGTGTGAAAAGGGAAAAAACATTCAGTATGCGGAAGTCCTGTGGGCGAAAATGCCTTGTTGATGCTAGAGGTCAGAGGAGAATGGGCCGACTGATTCAAGCTGATAGAAGAGCAACTTTGACTGAAATAACCACTCGTTACAACCGAGGTATGCAGCAAAGCATTTGTGAAGCCACAACACGCACAACCTTGAGGCGGATGGGCTACAACAGCAGAAGACGCCACCGGGTACCACTCATCTCCACTACAAATAGGAAAAAGAGGCTACAATTTGCAAGAGCTCACCAAAATTGGACAGTTGAAGACTGGAAAAATGTTGCCTGGTCTGATGAGTCTTGATTTCTGTTGAGACATTCAGATGGTAGAGTCTGAATTTGGCGTAAACAGAATGAGAACATGGATCCATCATGCCTTGTTACCACTGTGCAGGCTGGTGGTGGTGGTGTAATGGTGTGGGGGATGTTTTATTGGCACACTTTAGGCCCCTTAGTGCCAATTGGGCATCGTTTAAATGCCACGGACTACCTGAGCATTCTTTCTGACCATGTCCATCCCTTTATGGCCACCATGTACCCATCCTCTGATGGCTACTTCCAGCAGGATAATGCACCATGTCACAAAGCTCGAATAATTTCAAATTGGTTTCTTGAACATGACAATGAGTTCACTGTACTAAAATGGCCCCCACAGTCACCAGATCTCAACCCAATAGAGCATCTTAGGGATGTGGAGGAACGGGAGCTTCGTGCCCTGGATGTGCATCCCACAAATCTCCATCAACTGCAAGATGCTATCCTATCAATATGGGCCAACATTTCTAAGGAATGCTTTCAGCACCTTGTTGAATCAAATGCCACGTAGAATTAAGGCAGTTCTGAAGGCGAAAGGGGGTCAAACACAGTATTAGTATGGTGTTCCTAATAATCCTTTAGGTGAGTGTATATACTGCTGGCAATATTGTGTTGATTGGTAGAGCATTCAGATGGTTTCCCCAACTCTTTGGGATTTCATCTGCAGCCTTAATATTCCTTACTTCAGAGATACAATGTAGATGATAACACCTCATGAAATATGCATGTCAAATTCTAAGATTATAGGTCGACCATCTTTGTTTATCCACATTTTTTTCCTTAACTTTCCTATTTAAAGGTCGAGTAGAGGGGTATGCAATGTCGTACTGTAGACTTGGATGAGTGCATGTTTGGGTGGATAGATTCATTGTACACTGTGGATGAGGACTGGAAGCAAACTAGAATGTTAAAATAATGCCTGTAAATCACAGAAATATTAATAATTATGTGCCTCCCAACCAATTCCCTTCCTGTCTGCTGGTGATATCTTGCAATGGTGCAGGGAGGCTTTATATTCTTGCATCTTCCATGAACAGAGGCCAGATGAATGAGGTCATCAGGGAAAATATCGGGGTCTCATGTCAGAAAGGGGCATGTGGCATGAACATAAGGATGGCACATCTGTGTCTGTGTGTGTATATGTGTGTGTGAGCATGTGTGCGCATTTGAGAATGTGCCAGTGTGCGCTTGTAATTGCACTTGTGTATGGGCTGTGACAATGTTGATAGGTGTCCCTGCCATCTTTGATTACAAGCCCAGCAGATGGGCTTTGAATATGGCAGGAAGCAAAAATAAGTGTAGAAGTTCTCACCTCCACAATGGCAATGGGTGGGCGACATGTGGTCCTGCGCAGCTACACAGTTGCGAGTTGCCTTCACACATGCCACTGCATCATAGATCATATTCGATGCCTTCTGCAGAATCCTCTAAGTTCCCTTTTTAATTTTCATGTATTGGAGGTTCAGTGACTGGGATGGGTAACAGGGCAAGATGAATGATTGTGATGTCAGTGCCACTTTATGTATTCTGGTATAATGATTATGCATACCATTGTCTGATAAATTGTGTCTACTTATATGTCTGTTTGTGAGCGTTTGACTTGTGGCTAAGCCTTGAATAAAGAGAATTACAGTAGTCAAAATCAGATAAGATATTATGAGATAAGACTTTTTTTTTTACAGTGAATTTAAGAAAACCATTTTGACTGTGATCCTGCATTACCCTAGTCACCTGGTTTCCAAAGCAAAATTTGGAGACAAACATTAGACCAAAATTGTGGGCAGTTTCCTTTTTGTAAGTGGACAAAGTTGTGAGTTAAAGGAACCTCAAGACCAAGTAGTAAATGAAAATATTTGGACTCTTTAAAACTGAGAGTACATGATTCTGGTTAAATTAATTGACCCACGCTATAGAGGAGCATCGAGCTGGTTAAAGACACACAAGCTCAGTTCTTAACGATGATCCATTTTTCAATTGTTAAATTAAATAAGAGCGGTCGATTGCATTGAATGCAGACCTCAAAGAAGATAGCAATCTATAATAATAATTAGGGCTGAATGATTTAACAAATTGCTGATGATTTGCGATATTGGGGGGAGTGATCAGTTTAAAATAATTATCCTCATTTCATTGAAAAAGATATTTAAATGTTTGTGGTGTGATTTTTTGTAGGGATCTGTACCAAACAAAGATGTTTTCTTTTTAGCATGTTTGTTTAAGCGTCTTTGAGTACTTGGAAAAGTGATATATAAATGCAATTTATTATTATTATTATTATTATTTTCTTAAGTCTGTAGTATGCTGTGTAGGCCATGACATCTCTGCAGCATGACAATATTTAATTTAAAATTACATTTTGACACAAATTTCATCTTTAACAAATGTTGCCCCTCCAGCGATTTGAAAATTGTAGTGGGCCATATTGCGATTTCAGTACGATTTCAATCAATTGTTCAGCCCTAATTATAACTGAGTAAACTATATTTTTTATCATCAGCAATCAGTGAGTCATCTGTAGCCTTGAGAAGTTATAGGATAGGACATTTTTTATAGTGTATAAATATTTTTTTTGTTAAATCTTTAATAACACAATCACTTTCACATCCTTTAAGTTTAAAGTCACTAAGGGAAAGGATACTCTGTGGGAAGTTAGATCAGACATGCCCTGTGAAAGCAGACTTCACTAGAAGTTGTAAGATGTAGACAATGCAGAAAAGTATACTTTTGTTTAAGTTTGACAAAAATTAGCTTAGAATATGTTCAATTAAGTTTATAGGGAAATTTAAAAATGTTTTAAGAAAAATGTAAATGCTGGTGTGTGTGTGTGTGTGTGTGTGTGTTTGTTCAATTTTTTTTAAATATGGTTGTTGAAGAATTCAAAGTGAATGAGGCAAATGTAAAATTTGTTTGTGCAAGTTTTGGCATGTGTACAGTATATGTGTGCACTAGGATCAAATGTGATAAAGTAAGATGCTTTGTAAAAACTCACTAATTATAAGCACAATGACTTGCCAAGGCAGCCTACTACAACTAATGTAAATTCTATCTAATTGTTTAGTTTTAACAATTTCCATAATAAAAGTAGGTATCCCACTCATCCTCCACTTGATTAAAATCTCTGAGTAGCAACTGTGCCAAACCGCTGCGTCCCACAGCTTGGTTGCAGAGAATGCCTTCCTCACCTCTATCACTAAATAAAGAAATTACAATACAATGCAATTTTTGGATTTACACATGATACACAGGAGTCAAATGTGATGTACGGCGTCTTTAAAGAAGAAAACCAATAATTAAGGCCATTTGAATTTGTTTGCAGTGACAGTTGATCCCTGGTAGTCAGACAGCCCTACAGTGCACTGCCTTTCTGTGCACCTCCAGCATCTAAAGCCACAAAAATAGGCCAGTGGTCTTGACCAACATCTAATAATTGATCTTGCCAGGTGGATGTGCAGGTGCAAGTGTGCACCAAACCATTTTGTTGTGTTGCATTTATACACCTCTGCCAGCACCACTTTGCTAATTTTAGCACAGACAGGCTAGTATGCACCCAGGAAACAACCTTACAGGTACACGATGACCACACCCATCCCTTAGTAAGGTAACAAATCACCTGCTAGATGGCAGCAAAAGTTGGATTTTATCTCCCAGTATTGCTTATGACAACCCACCCCCAAGAGAACATACGCCCTGTATCCAGCTGCTGGTTTCATATATAAGATATAGTGGACATATTGAAGAGACACTAATAAATGTATAGTGTTTAGACAACAAACAGGGATGACATGTTCCCTTTGATGAAAAAGAGTCTAGATAGCACAACTTTCTCTTCAACTGAGATGTGACACAGGGAAGCTAGAAAGTCCATTGTTACATGAATAAACCTATAGCCATGATATGTCATGACTATGTATTAAGTTATTGCACATAATAGTCTGTGTAATAAATAGTAATAGACTGTGGGGGAAAAAAGATGCACTGCTTCTCCGTTTGTTGCACGTCAAATACAGACATCAGGTTCCCCTGCTGCAGCAGTATAGCAGCTGTTGAGTGACTCTCCTCTAACTCATTACCAAACCTCCACCTGTGATTTCCACCTGGATACACCATCAGCTCCAATTTCCACTGTAGGCACCCCACGTGGAGAATAAAACACCCACTAGGCTGTCCCCTGAGGCAAATTTAGTATACTTCTTTGTATGCACCCAAACAAAACCATATAGTCTCCCCAGATGACACCATTACTGCTAACACATGTGTAAGTAAAACGGTTTATTGTTATTATTGTCGTTTTTGTTATGTTATTGTATTATTATGGTTAATATTTTTTATTAACAATTGAGATTCAGAAATACTTTGGCATATTTCACTGTTACTTGTTAGTCTTGATGTTTTCCTGCCCAATTTTTGTCAGTGAGACACAAACTATCCTGGTGAGGGGCAGAAAGTGTATTAGTTTTTCCTAGTGACAAGTTAGGTCTGTGGTCATTTTGTCTGAGGAGCGATGAGTGCTGAAATGTCTTTTTGAACCCTGCAGTCTAATAAAAAAAGGAGAGGAAATGACTCTCTTCTCTCTCCATCACAACAGCAATTTTCTTGGGCTCGTTCCGCCTGCCTTATGAAGAGATCCGGGACATTGTGCTGGAGGTAGACGAGGAAAGACTGAGCGAATCACTCATCCAGGTAAGACTGATGTTCAGCGTGGTGTTAGTTTTTTGACTCCCACACACGATACACATATTTTTTCTTACTGAAAGGTGTGTGTCTGTGTGTGTGTCTGTGTGTGTTTGAGACTGACTTTCTCTACAAATTCACATGGAAAGAAGATTTTTATATTTCAGTGTCTGGTGAATAGCTTGGTGACTCCATTTTAAACCTAGTATGGTCTGTTTTTGGCACAAGTCAGTCTCCTCATTCTCATGTGGACCACAGAGACCCCCCATTCATCTTACTATAATGGATGATGAAGGACAAGGCTTGGCAAAGGCTCCCCAACTCCACCCTCCTTTCCTCTTGCTTTTGTCTTAAACCATAATTGATGAGCTTCCTAAAGGCTGCTTGTTTTTGGTTCCATTTTATTTCTGTTTTTCTTGTCTCAGAAAGCATTAATTGAATGCAGGGCAAGTGCATCTGAGGTGAAGCTGCATGTAGGGCCTCAGTTGTACTGATAGTTCTTGCACTGTCCTTGTGTTAAGAACCAACACAGCTACTGTCTTTTGTTTCTATTGCAAGCCAGACATCGGTGGTGTATCAGTAGCAGCAAATGGAAGATTTGATTTCATTATAATCTTGGCTGTGATATGGGATGTTGCGTGCATTAGTGTTTGCAAGAATGTTATTTTTTTTTTTCTTTCCCAACGAGCAGCGGCATCGTTCAAGTGAAGCTTTCAAGCTTAAGTCCAGAGGTCTTTCCTACCTTGTAAAAATAAATCCATAAAAAAACATTACCTTTACCAGATATATATGTCCTTTCCCACATGGCTTATCAACAAACACTTGCACAAGAGCCAATCTGCTTCCTCCCACCTGCTTGGATGCAAGACACTAGTAAAAGGTGGTGAGGCAATATATATTTAGATGGGGCCTATCTAGAGAGCTGCCCTGCAGGACTATTATTTTGAGCTCTGATAACCTTTAATTTGCTGGCAATCTGGCAGAAAATATAGACAGTATGTTATGAGATGGCAGATCCCCCTCTGCTTTGTAAAGGAGAAAGAAATTTAAGGTGTTGACCCTTTCCAACCTTCAGCCTTTCCGTAGCAAAGTAGAAATAGTGTGTATCTGCTAGCAGGTCAGCATCCACACCAGGCCTTGTTGCACACAGCACCATACAGATAGTTTGACTGGTTTACAGTAGTCGGGTTGGGTTACATGAAAAGTAAACCACTCCATCCACCATCAAACAGCTACCATCAAACAAACCAAGCTGCTGTCGGTTGCTTTGTTGGAAGTTGGTCAATAGTCAACAGCCAGAGTTTGAAAAGTGGAAATAATGGTTACTATGATACAGACATCTGCTGTAACCTTCAAGTTCCTTTTGTTCCCAATTTTAAAATATATTCACTGTGAACCAATAGCGTAAGTGACAAAAATGGATGTTTTAGTTGCCACATGCTTGCACCTCTTTGTGAGGGATTTCGTCTCCGCCCCTGTCCATCCTCCCCGTACCTCTTCTGTTTCCCTCTTTAAATGTGAAGCAATGAGCCTGCTAAAAAAGAGGAAGGCTCAACAAGACTCATGAGAGCAAGTGTGTGAGTCAGCATAAGCATCTGGGAACCAAGCTAATGTCACCAAATCCAGGGGGAGACGGGAGGACCAGCTGAGTTAACTTATCGGTGCAGAAGGAGCCAACATCTGGCAAGTGTGTCACTGCTGGTTAGATAATGATGCTAAAGACAAAGATGGACTTTATTTATTATTATTTTGAAATGTTTTCATGCAGTTCTGGGAGGAGGAGGACTTATAAGGAGGTGATTCCCCCTTTTTTAGCACCTTTGCTTTTTTCTTTGCAATATCAGTCAAAGATAGTATTGTTTTATTATTATTTGTCTATGAAATATTATCTTTCAGAAAACTGATCTTAAGTTAGTTGCTAGGGTGGCTTTTACTTCTCTTGAAGAAAAAGAAAACTCAGGTTTTGTATTTGTGTTTTTGTCATGTTTTCTGAATGTACACAGTATTGACATACAATTTCGAAAGAAAAGTGAAACTAATACATGACTAAATTGTATTTGTATAAAAATGCCACTGATTGTATACTTAGACATCCTTTTCGGATATGAGTTAGATGATATTGAACAAAAGCATGCAGAAATGAGCTGCGATCTCACAAATTAAACAGGGAAGCAAGTGAAACATGCCTAAGAAATACAGTTATACAGCTATACGCAGGCACTGAAGGGGAGCAAAGAGACTTCCTGCTGGGTGACACAGTCCTGAGTGTGGGCTCCATCTGCACAGTGCTCATCTACACTCATTATGCTGATTAATCACTCTACACCACCCACTTTCAGCCACACGCCAATCACCATTTATCCACATGGACAACTGCACACACACAAAGCGTAAAAAGATGTGGCTGCATGGCTTGGGCAAGGAAATGCATTTGCCATGTTACTAATGTTAGAATGAGTCGGGGGTTATGTGCACCTAACTTAAAAAAAATAATGGATTTAAAATGGGAAACAAAAGAAAAGATTGAAAGAAACTTATTTAAATAAGATGAAATATGATCCAAGATAAAACATATAATGCTTTTGTTAAGCCATTTTTAACTAATAGTGTGTTCTTCTAGCTGTTACTTTTCACAGTTTTGATAGCTTGGTGCCACCTGTTGCACACACACACACACACACACACACACACACACAAAAGAAATAAACAATAGCTTTGCCAAGCACAAGTTGCTTATTAATGGAACATGACAAATGTGATGGCTAATGTCAAAATGCTAAGTAGTTTCTGATTAAAAAAAACCTTTACTGAGGTATCACTATCAGTTGTGAAATCTTATTACTCATATTTTATAACAACTGTGGTAAATATAATGCTGGTTTGACATCCATGCTTTTTTCTTACTGACCTAGCATTTTATCAGTTTACACTAATAGCCATTAATGAACACTCCAGCCTTGAGAAAGTGATGAACTGTACAGTGATGAACCTGGCAGTTCCACAAATCTCTCCTGTATACATGTAAACTGATGGAGTACAATGGCTCACTGGTCTCGTAGCACTTGATACAACAGGAAAATATACCACTTCAAAACTCAGCTCAGTTTAAAATTGTGCCTTGGCATTATTTTGCAAAGACGAGTGACAAGCAAGCAGGGAGTTGATAAATGGAAGGAACAGTGGAAATTGAAGGAATCAAGGAAGCAGGAGGTGTTCACAATGCATCTAAAACTCTGTAACTCAATCTTATTATCTTCCTTCTCCGTCGACATGTCTAATGTAATGATTTGTCAGCAGAATGTGACAGTGCACTGGCCTTGAAGTACCCCTACAATGTGTCACCCTGGCAGAGTGGATAGATAGGAGTTGATTGGCTCTCCTTATTCTGCATTAGGGCCCATCAGCGCCTCAGAGATGATGTACACATCCCTGAATGCTGGCAGACAGTCGTGGCTCTTACCATTCATCCAGACATCATATAAATCCTTGCAATTCTACACTTATTTTCATCCCCATGCACCCAGCGTACAAACATACGTATAGTACATGCAAATGGTTAGACGTGTCAGTTATCTTCTCTGTCTTCTAGTCCCTGGAAAATTTTGTCACTTTCATCATCCAGCCAATACATGTGTGCAAGTGCAAACACACACATGTTTGCATGCAATCTCTCTCTTGCTCTTTGTCTCTCCTCCTCACTTGCCCCACAGTATTCATAGTGCTGGTGGACAGAGGTCACTTTTGTATCAGGTCACCTTCATCAAATTCAAAACTATATCAGAGCAACCCCGCTACCATAGCCTCTATAACAATGAGATGAAGAAGACAATGAAAAATAATACTGAACATTGTCTCTGTGAAAACAGATTGGGCCTCAGAAAGCTTGGCAAAGGTCTGCTTTTAAAGGGTTGACAGCCTAACAAAGCTATTCATTGCTATTGTTGGCTGGCAACAAAAGCGTCAGGGGGATGTTTTGTAGACCTTGTTTGTGTGGGAACGAGTCAGGCATGTGCGCTTCAGGGTGCTGGTTGCATGTGTTTGCGTTTAGTTTGGCACTGACTACAGGACGTCCACTGCCCCTAGTTCTATTTAGTGGCACCCTGGCTAAATGCTTATACTTATACCTCACTCACATTGTTTAAATCATGACGTGGCTATGCCAGTGACCTTGCTGTGTGACTTAAGTTGACTCTCCTTTAGTGTTTTAATTTCTCAAAGTCCCTCACAGCCTCTTTGCCCCGGGGAGAAGGCTTAACTGGCATAAAGATGGTAGTTGGTCCCATGCCCTTATAGTCCCTGCCAATGGAACACAAGGAGGCCAAACAATGGCCAGATTATTAATAAGCACTTGTAAACTTGAATAGCTTATGGTGTAATTAACTGGTATGGTAGGTGGTTGCTCACAGTAGTTCACTGGCAAAGTTGATATGATGTAATACGTCTCTTATTAGATGTATTCATTACTATATTACTTGACAGCGCTAAATTATCGGCAACTGTAATGTGAAGTGGAAAGTAATGTAAATAACGAGAAATTATATTTTATTGTATTGTCATATATTGATACGCTATTCATCATTATGCTACAAATAAGAGATTACGAGAACATTTTGAAGTGTTTCTGCTTACTTAAGTAATGTTCACATTCAAAGTGAAATATTTATGTAAAGTATTTATGTACTGAATCATTTCACTATTTGTTTGTGAAATTTGTCAATTAAATTACTGTATGTTCTCAAACTGTTGTGATTTAGATCAAAATACTTGCTTCAGTCCAATTACAACATATTTTGTTGGGATTTCCTTTTCAAGGTGGCTGAAAACTTGTACTAAGCTGGCCCATTTTAACGATAAAACACTGCAGGAAACCCTTTTCTGTTGTAGTAAAGGTCCCTGGGAAATTTTTAAATTACTACAAGTGGCTGACAATGTTGTTATTGTTGTATTACACATGTTTTGCAATCTCTGGGAGGAACTGTGTCCAAGACGTCGTTAGGAAGATTTCTTAC